TGAAAAATTTGCATTTTTCTCCCCTCAAAAGAAGTGTGTGTAAAGTTGAGGCAAAGGTAAGTGTGGCTGATGGACAGATTTGGGCCAATAAAAAACTGCTAAATACTCAAGTACTTTGCATCAGAATAGGAAAGATGCCAGGAATTGGCAAACCTACCCATTACAAGTGTCAAGAGTATAAAGGTTTTGACTCATTTGAAAGACTTTGCTTTGAGAAGAGAACTCCTGGATAGGGCCACCCAGGGAAGTACTTCCCCTCATTGAACCATCTAGGCATTCAAGAGACTACTATAGCCATGGTCCAAGGAGGCCCAGCTACTCCTTGAGCTAGTGGCAGACTTGGTGTCATCCATGGCACTGGTTTTGCAGGCATGCAAAATGCAAGAGTTGCAGGGTCATGCAGGCTTCCACCCAGATTTCAAAGGAAGGCCTGGGAGACCAGGAACATATGACAGGGTTGGAGTTCCTATGGAGAGCCCTAGGAAGGTTTTGATGCATGAAGATTTTTGAATGAAGCCCAAGATGCAATGGAGACCCCAGGAATTTGGGAGATGCCAGGAATGTAGAACATCTGCTAAGGGAAGTTGCAGGCAATGAGCAGACCCAATTTAAGAGAAAGACCATGTAGGGTGCAGCTGGCAAGGCTGTATAGACGTAGGACTGTCCAAGCCCATGTGTCTTGGATGCCAGACACAGAACTATGGGATTTACTGTTTGCCCAACTGGGTTTTGGCCTTGCTTTGATCCCATCCTTCCTTGCTACTCTCCTATTCCTCCCTTTTGGAATGGAAATGTTTACTCTACACCATTGAGTCTTGGGAGTATGTAGCTTGTTTAGATTTTACAAGGGCTCACAGCTAAGAGCTTACCTTGAGTCTCAGAGAAAATGTTAGACTTGAACTTTTGAGCAATACTGGAACTGTTGGGACTTTGGGGAAGGAATTAGTATGTTTTTGGTTTTATGCAGAATAGTTATATCATGTTAGGTATAATTAGTTAAGTACAGCTTAAGGAGGTATGTTTAGGTATCAAGTTGACAAGGGATGGGCTTGGTGAGGACAAATTGGATTGAGAAACATATAGATTAGGAAAGCACAATTCTGGGTGTGTCTGCCATGATGGAATGAAATCTCTAAAACCATGAACCAAAACCAATCATTCTTCCTTAAGTTGTTTTGCTCAGCTGTTTTGTCACAGTGATGAAAAACTAACAGAGTTGTTAAGATACTTGCTCAAGATCCTTCCAAACTAGGTTTCTTGGGCTGGGAGCATGGCTCAAGTGGTAGAGTGCCTGCTTACCAAGCACGAGACCCTGAGTTCAAACCCAAAAACCAACAAAACGCTCCACCAAAACCAGGTTTCTGGCTTTCTGAAAGCAGGAAGGGTTTGGTCAACCCACTGTAGAACATAATGGCAGGTCCTGAGAGGGAGAGTTACTGGCCACTCTCCCATGAGTCTGTGTTCTGGGCTCCAGTAGGTATAAAGTTAAGAACATTTTGGGGGGACAAGAGAGGCAGAGATCTCAGTTTGAGGCCAGCCTGGGCAAATAGCTCATGAGACCCTATCTTGAAAATACCCAAGCAAAGAAGGGCTGGTGGAGTGGCTCAAGTGGTAGAGCACCTGCCTAGCAAGTATGAGGACCTGAGTTCAAGTCCCAGTACTGCCAAAAAAAAAAAAAAAAAGCATCCTGGGGGCCCAAGATGGGCTCCCAGAGGGACGTTCCTTTGTCTGCAGGGTAAATATTGGATCTGGCAGATAGCAGATGGGTTTCTGGTTGCTAGGGATGATTCATTCCAGACCCTGGTCTCATTCCTTCAAATTACTTCCCATGCACACAGCAACCAACAGGAGCTGCTGCCCCTTTCTCACCTACTAGTAGACACTTTCTTGGTTCCCCTGCCTTCCGGATTTGGGCAGGACTCCTTTGCCTACTGCTGGGCCTCAAGTACATGGCACTCGGTAAAGAGAACAGAAGCAGAAAAGGCTGTAAGTCTTGGTGACCTTCTCCAAGGTACTGTTCTGGCTCTCCTTCTAGCTCCCACTGTTGTCTTAGTGTCCTTGTGGCACAGTTGGCAGGAGAGGGGAAGAACAAGGAGCATTGCATGTGAAGTCCCAGAGCTAGGTTCAAGTCCTGGCTTTCACTAACTGAGTGAAAAATGGGTATTTGCCTCATCTGAAAAACAGGAGCCACTACATGGGTGGCTGAATGAAGTGAGATTGTGTATGAAGTACTTGTGTGGGGCCCATTACTGTCAACTTTGAGCTGTGGCTTGGGCTCTCTGGAGCAGCACCCAGCCGAGCACAGAGGTTCTTGGGAGAGACCAGTTACTCTGCCTTTCATGAGGCCAAAGAGCAAGAAGAATCAGCGGGGAAAGCCAAGCTCAGACCCTTGGACTCAGAGCCTTCTCGTGGGAGTGCTCTGCCCTAAGCAGCAGATGGCATTAATGCGGCAAGGCTGGGGAGAGGTGACCACATGTGGCTGCTGGAATCACATTGGATCAAGATGCAGAGGTGGGTTGGGGGTGTGGCTCAGTGGTAGAGTGCTTACCTAGTATCACAAGGCTCTGGGTTCGATCTCCAGCACTTGAAAAAAACAAAAAAGCTGGGCTGCCAAGCTATGGGCTGGAAAAGTTTGAGATGTAGTCCACATGTCTGTTGAAGAGTGGTGCAAGAAAAAACAGTTGAGGGAGAGTGCAAAGCTGAATTGTAGGCCTGGGGCTTTTCAGTCTCCGCTTGACTCCAGCCTGTGTGGGTTGCGGTAGGGGTACACTATGTCACTGAGGCAAAATCCCTCCTCTCCCCTGCCGGTGGGAGAGTTACTGCTCTCGAGATCCCTGGTCCTAACGCTTGTGGGTTCCCCAGAAGCCTTCCCTGAAATGCTTGGATTAAGCCAAGACTGGAGACCACTCTGCCTACTGGCTGCTTGCAGAGGGTAAGGGAGCCATTTGTTGGAATGCATGTGCAGGTTACCTGGGATTCCAGGAAGCCCAGGCATGCCCAGATAGACTGTTTCCTCTTAAGAGGTTTGCAGTTCTCCTGCCCCCACCCAGTGTGAAATCCAAGTTTTAAGTTTCAGCTCTAATTGCCTTGAGTTGCTCTTAACGACAACTTGTGATCTGCCAACTGCAGTTCTCGGATCCTAAGGCTCTAATGAAGCTCCTTTGCAGAGCACAGCCTCACTTACAAGGAAGCACAAGTTGCTGGGCCTTGGAGAGCAGGCAAAGGGCTCTTGGAGCTGAGGGTGCACACTCAGAACCCCAGGCACTTGGGAGAGCTCCCAGGCCCCACTTATTCCAGGTAGGAAAGAAAGCACAATTCTATATGGATTGAAAAAAATTACTCTGCAGGCATGTGATGTCAAGGGCCCCATGCAAATGTCAGGAATCCATTGCCTGTGGACAACCCAGGGTCACTGACAAGGGTGGCCTCATTGGGTCTCATTAATGGAACTCCCAGGAATGGGTCCCCTGCTAAGTGATGTGGTGGAGGGGATATGGGATGACTTCTTTCCGGGGTCTCACTGCAAGGGAAAAAATGGTTCCACTAATGAGCAGAAGCTCAGGTTCCTCTGGCCTGCTATGCCTTCCCTGGAGCCTGGCTAGGCCGACCCTGGACTGTTCTCACCAGTCTGACTTGTATCCTCTCTGCGCTCCAGGGTGGACACTCAAGAGCACAGCGTTAGGCTGATAGTCACCCAACCCTTGCACTGCTCTCTTGGACCTCCCGGTTCACGCCTACTTCTTTCTTACTCCTTTCCCCCAGAAGCCCATGTGTTGTGCTGACAACTAGGGCTGTCCCCTAGACTCTCCTCCACCTGCAGCAAGGCTGCACCACATTTTACTCTCTTGACATGGCACCTACCACAGCTGCCTGCTGATGTCCTCCTCAAGTCTGGCGGCCCCCACTCTGTTATGTGTTTGCCTATGCGCCTGTGTGAGGCGCCTGTGTGACCAAAGGCATGTGACTTCTGTAGACGACGACGCTGTACAGCCCTGCCCCTGCCCACATTACCTGTACAGCTCTGTGATTTCCACTGGGAGAGCCAGCCAGATCCAGCTAACCAAGCCTCCCAACCATGCAGCCTGTAAGGACTGGTCACCAGGGGGCGATCTTGCACAGCAAACCAGCAGTCTTCTGAGGGCCTGATTTTCCCAGATTAGAGAAGGATTGAAGAGAGAATGCAGCCCATGTCAGCTCGGGGCGGGCGAGGATCCAGAGGGCAGACGGTACGGATGCTAAAAGCTATCATTTCCTGTTTTAAGGACAGTCAGCCATCCTATGGGGGGGAAGATAAGACAACGATGGTGCAACCAAACCATCCCCGGCATGTCAGTGTGGAAGAGTCACTGAAAGAACTAGTGCTTGAAGTTTGGTTTTTAAGTATAATAAAATGAATTTATTTACACAGTAACATGAGGCCACGGAATACACAGCAAAGTACCACAGCAAACCAAAGGGCAGTGACAGAGGGGACCTGTTATTGATAGATTTATACAACTCTGAATTATGCAAGTAGAGAGAGCAAGAGAAACAAGACTTTCAAATACAGAGTGTGAGTAGAGCCATGGAGAGTTAGAGAGGCTGGAATGAGGTCCGCCATGATTAAAATCACTTAGACGGATGCTGTCTTCTCGCTCTTGCCTGATTTCACGTTGAAATGCCCTGCATGTCAACAGAAAGCCTGGCCCAGTGTGTCTTTAGAACTGGTAGGGAAGGGTAACCAAGTGTTACTTGGAGCAGGCTTCCTGGCGCAGTGTGGTTTAACCTTTCAGTAGCGCTCCCCTGAAGCCACAGGGCTGGCTTAACATTCAAGTTATCCAGAGTGCAGACACACATACTAGCCACACGCTAACAGGCAAAGTGGATTTTCTGTACTACAACAATATTCATAGCAAAATATAAACTCTGTAGTTCTGCTAGGTTAAAAAACTTCCGATCTCTTTTGGTTCCCTGAAACTTTCTTGAATTAAAAAACCACAGGGGTGGGTGGGATGGGGAAGGTGAGAAGCGGGAACATGTAGGGATGCTTGGAATGTAGGCCCTTGTGGCCAAGTGGGTGGGCAAAGCTTTAGTAGTGATGGATGCAGAGATCTACTCTAATTTCAAACAGCTGCAGGGAGAGGGCTTAACAGCTGCATAGCACCTTGTACAGTCTGGGCACTTGTAAATACTAAATGATGGTGGTGCTGAAGGTAAACACCTTTGTAGGAACAGTGCACGTGCTAAGAAATTTCTCAAGTTCTTTAAATGAACCTATTGAAATGGCCTCTCTTTTAACAACAAAACCCCTCCTTCCGTCTCAGAATCACAGACATGATGTTCCTAGGCTAAGGTCTAGGCACCAGCCACAGCCATGCTAACAGGGCTGAAAGAATTAGTTTGCTTAGATACTGGAGTTTCACTATCTGCCCTGGCTTCCTCTATCATCATTTTACTTTTCTTCTAATGTACAAAATGGACTTCTTTTAAAAAAATAGATGTACTTTTGAGGATGGATTTATTTTATCAGCTGAATACCCTGACATGGAATGTACGTGAATTCCCTTCTCCTGGCCATCTGTCACAGCTCTACCTCATATCTGGGTAAGACGCTTGATTTCTTTGGTATGATCTCTGTTTAGGATCTTGCATTATGGCTCTTCTGACTTTCCTAGGGCAGCGGTTTTGGTCCATAGAATCCCCATCTGCAGCGCTGCTGTGAGAATGGATGGCTGGGTTTCAGTGCACACTTGAGCGAGAGCAACTCTTGGGTTTGTCTGGGCGCAGCACTTTGGGCCTTTGAGAATGAGCTTCAATGAGGTAAATCTAATAACCCAGTTTCATGGGCAGCCATCCTGCTCGTTCATTAAGCTGGACCAGAACTCTATCCGTATCCACTAGTGAGGGGAAGGAAACGCATGCCAGAGCTGGCCTAGGGAACTGAGTTCCTCGTCTCTTCTTCAACTAGCTCATACTTTACACATCTTGAATCACCTGAAATATAGTGTAGCATCCTAAACCCATCCCAACTTCTGGGACTAGCCAGTAATTTTTCAGATGACTGCTAATAAAACCTAGGGAAAAATTCTAATTGCATGTTACCAGCAAAACCAAATGTCAGGTGACTTCCCTGTACCAAAATACTCCTAACTCAAACTTAGAAAGCTGGGTGCAATACTTCTATGTCTTATTATTTGGTGGGCCCCAATGATCTTTTATGGGAATTTTATTACTAGATACTTCAACATACAATTTTAGGTAGCTTTACTCCCATAAATATCATTAATATTTCTAGAGTTTATATTTCTTGGCTTAAGAGTTTTTCATGTTCATAAATGTATTCTGAATTTGGAAGCAGAACTAGCCCCTGACCAAGCTGACAACAGGGAGGCTGCTCTGACTCTAAATTCTGGCGTGTTTTATTTTTGTCTCTCTGCATCAGTAAGTTGGGGAGTATGGGTGCTTATGCCTCTCCATCACTCACCCGGTTCACCTTCTGAGGGCAAGTCCTGAAACTCACTGCCATAGTCCTGGCTTCCAATTCAACCTCTGCACCAGGATAGGTGGACTTTATCCACGATTCTCACTGTTCTCTTTCTCAGTCTGCTGGGGTTCTTCGCGATTAGCTTCTGCACATCACACCGGTGCTTGCATCCCAGAAAGGCTGTCCTCCACAGTGTGGGAGGCTTATGCAGTCTTAGTCCTCTCTGTGGAATACCCAACTCCTCCTTGCAAGGCGAGGTTGCTATTCTAACAAGGCACTCTGAGATACATTCACTCTTGTTCTTGGCTGCTCTAGCCACTGTCCTTTCTCCCTAGCACTGAAATGTGTCAAGAGAGATTGTTCATGCTCACGTGGCTTAAGGAAAAGTTCCAATAGAGACTTCATTGTTCAAACTCTCAAAATAAATGGAAGAATCAATGGTGTAGACTTCAATAGGAAAGAAAAAGATTTTCAACCAATACTGAAGACAATACCTTGACATTACTTGTGAAAACTTAAAGTGCTATATTGCAATCCCAAACTCATATATCTACCTATCTACCTACCTATTTATCTATATGAAATACATGTGTATCTGTGTCTACAGAAGGTTAAGCTTTCTTTCCAGTTGATGAATGAATTCAAAGTTCCTACCACAATTAAAATGAAAATGTAAAATATTTATGATAGCATTAGACTGACTGAATTTCATTATTTTAGAAAAGTGTTCTGAGGACCATCTGATGGACTTCTTGCCTAGAAAAGCATTTTCTTCTCTAGTCTGCTTGTCATAACACCCTCTTTGCCTCCCCGTCACGTTCTTTGACCATCACCCAGAGAAAGTCAGTGTAGCCACCTGTCTCTTAGAAGCCCAAGCCCTTCTCCATCTAGTTTGGCCTTCATCTTTTGCCCTTTGCAAAACAGTGCTGAACACGTGTGGAATGAGGAGGTGCTTGTTTTACCAATGCTGTAAAATGACGGTAGTGGAGGCATCCATGCTTGTTCTAATGTGGAGTGAAAGTGAAGGCTGGACTCAAGACTAACAGGAAAAAAGAAAAAGAATGAGAACAAATACAGGGACCAGGAGCATTCAGCATTAAATATGTAAGCTCATTACATAGTCAACATTCCAATGTACATGCCAAGGCACCATGAGATTGACATTGAGAAGGTATGTCTCAATTTGCAAAAGTTGGGGCGGGGTTGAGAGATCGTGCTGGGTGACGTGGTCAGTGGTTTGTGTGCTGTCAGTTCAGTGCATGATCAGGCAGAGATTTATGTGCATACGGGCTACATTAAGATGAACCAAACCCCAGAATGCTAGGCATGATGCAGCCATGGCTCATATGGCCTAAGCCATGCCACAGGACACTGAGAGATTGGACTGCTGGCCTGCAGTAGCATACCTACTCCACAGCTGTTCTGGCTACATGAGGCAAGACTCTCTGTGGGCTGACAGTCTTCTTTCCTGGGAGTCCTGTACTGCTTGCCAGGAGGACAGGAACACCCTCTATATGGAGCCTCACACATCATTCTCTTAAAAAAAATAAATACGTTCTTCTCCTTTCTTGATCCTCCTTGACACAGATGAAGTAGATAAAAAGGCTGTTAAAAACGTTAAAAGTTCAGAAATTTCCAAGGCCACTAACATGCCATCTAAGTAATACTGCACAATCAGTCCTGGCTTTAAGAACACTCTGCACTGGTAGATAAGAGGCCTTAGGGCTCCCTCATCACCAAGGTGCAGAGAACGTCTGTCAACCTTGCCACAGGTGGCTCCCCGAGGCCTGGTCTCTACTCCCAGCACGTGTGTGCTTGCACATGGCACACACGTGTACACACTCACTGTTCAAGTGACTCTTGGGATTTCAAGGCTGAAGTAAACAGATACTCACAGTTTTGAATAAAAATAAGCGCACGCAAACGCACACACAGGTGGAAGGACGCCTCTTAGAGTAAATATGTGCCAAGGAAAGAGGGGAAGGTTTCTGTAGCTCTCGATTCAGGCGAAGTTGCAACACAAACACTGTAATATACAGCTAAGAAAATACATAAAAAATTGCACATACATCCACTGGAGAGGAGCACAGGCTCTCAGCTACCCACCTTAGCCAGCGATCTTCCCGAGTGCTGAACTCCAGAGTCATTTTGGAGGCCTAGGAGTCATGTACCACTGACTCTGTGAGGTGGTGTCTCTGGAAGAGGTCAGCATGCTGAAGAACAGGTCACCTGTCTCATCAGTAACCTTGTCTCTGTCCCCTGCCTTCTGGCCATTCTAGCAGTCAGCGCTCAGTGCCCTCTAAGGAGATCTTAGAGTTGAACTGAGGCACTTCCCTCAGGGCTGTAGTCTACCGCATTTGGTTGACTAGTTAACACTGGCTACTGACAGAAGGAAGCTGGCTAATTACTGCCTGGGGTTGGGGAGGAGGGGACCTCTGATCCAGGCTCTGCAAGCCCGGCTGCCAATGCTGACAGCATTGACAGAAATCAAAAGACTGTTCCCTGATGGGCCCTGGAGAACTACACATGGGAGGACATTATCTCTTCAGTCCCTGCCAACTATTCATAAGCTCTCCAGTGTGCCCCACCCTGCTGAGGCCATCAGTGACACCACCTCAGCTCAGCTCTGTAATGGGCCACAAGTGGGACAGAGCAGAGGCAGTGGCAGCAGAGAGGAGGCGGCTAGGACTGACACACACACACTGACAAGAGAAATGAAAGTGGGTCTGTGATCCAAGGGGTGGAAATCTCTCTGTTTCTTTCTATTGTCTGCTGGAACAAAGATAATCTGGTAACACAAACTGGAGAATGGTAGGTCTGCCTGGTAAAGGGTCAGTTATTGACACCTTGAAGGAAGAAGGAGTCTGTTGTGAGAGCTTACTGGATAGCAGTGGAGGTTGGTTATGTCTGTCTATTGCTAGTGAGAATGAATACTTGCTGTAAAGACAGGTAAGCTTTGAGTTATGAAGGAGCTGGAACTGGACACAGCTCACTGAGTACATACCATAGGTGCTGTACCTTCAAGGATGTACATTTTCATTTTTACCTGTTATTTGTGGGGCTATTATGATGAAAGTATTCCAAGGAGAGGTAACTGCAAGCTTGTGCAGTTCAATTTCTATGAAGTTAAGAAAGACTCAGCTTCTCACTTGATTTGGAGCTGTTGATGACCTTTCCCAATGGACGCATTTGTCCATGGACGGGGATGCCAGCTTTACCGCTCTTCTTTCCTTGAATTCTGTGTGAGTACTAAGATGGGGGAGCGCAGGGGCAACACTTCCTTGGAAGGGTTGGAAATGCAGTAAAAGCAGCATCTGGACAACATTAACGGTGTTGCAGAATTTTTACAATACAACTCAGGGAGTCTGTAGTGGCAAAAGCCAGATATTGAGCACAAAGCCAGTCCTCGAGGCTGATGCCCCCCTCTCTGTCCAGGGACTTCTCAGCAAACTTGATCATCAGCAGTGTTCGCTTGATGTCCAGCCAGTTTTGGAGCAGGGCGTTCCTTTGCATGAGGCTTGGGGAGGCGGTGAATGTCTGGAAGAGTTCTTCGCGGGGGCCCCAGAGCAGACACTGGAGGATGCCTTTGGCGTCAGAAATTAGGATGCGCTCTGAGGGGTTGGGATTCAGGAGGCAGCTGGCCAGCTGCTGTAGGCCCCAGGAGTAGGGGGAGCGGAGCGGGATTCGAGGCAGGTCCGTGCGTGTGTACTCCCTTTCCTTCAGCCCTGGGTTCTCATCGAAGGGGTTGGGCAGGTGCAGCATCTCATAGATGAGGATGCCCGTCTGAAACTCATCACACTTTTTATACTGGGTGGCTGTGATGATCTCTGGGGCAAGGCGGGACTGGTCCCGGAGGATCTCAGGGTCTACCAGATGGCTCTTCTGCTTGGCCTGAGAGAAGTTGCTCACAATAAGCCTTGTGGGACAAGATGAGGTAGGGCTTGGGTCTGCAGACCCAAGGCCCTGGGTGGCTCCCCCAGGCTGGTGGTGGACAAGCAGTAGGTTCTCTAGGCGTAGATCGCAGTGAGTGACATGGTAGGGTTTGAGGTGTTCCAGGCCAGAGCACAGCTGTAAGAGCAGCAGACACACTTGCCTCTCATACAAATCAGGGCTTTTCCCATGATGGGCCAGAGAGTCTCGCACAAAATCGGCCACAGTGAGATGAGGGACCTCTCTGGTGATGACTACAACATGGCTTCTCTGCTTCCTGCTTGCAATGCCCTGGCTCTCTCTCTGGGATGACTCTGTTTCAGAGCAGGACTCTGGGCTTTTCCCCTCAGCTTTTCCTTTTGCCTCTTCCTCACTCTCTTCCATTTCATCCTCTGCCTTTTCAGGGGTATCAGGATCTTCCCAGGGAAGCAGGCGGTTAGGGACTTCAGCAAGGAAATGACCACAGTCTTGCTGGATGTTAAAATGTACAGCCAGACTCTGCCGGACCGCCAGGCTGTGGTAATACTGGTGAGATTCTTTAGCTTTGCTCTTACAGATCTGAAAGAAGCAGATAATAAAATCTGAAACTCACACATTCACAACCAGGCTTATGACGTATTGAGGACAGTTAACTGGAAGGTGACTCGTGAGGATCAAGGAGTCATATAGTGAAGTCTTCAGAGACAATCTTGGTAGCCCCCTGCCGAGTGACAGTATTAGTGAAAGCAAGCATTTCTCACGGCCGTCTACACGCAAGGATGCACTCAGCACTGTACATGTACCAGCTCTACTCTTCACAGTAGCCCTTCAAAATAGGCTGAGGGTCTCCTCTACAAATGATGCTGAGAAAACTGGATGAGAACATGCAGAAGAATGAAACTAGACCCCTCTCTCTCACTAGTTACAAAAGTCACCAAGATGGATTAAAGACTTAATTGTAGGGTCTGAAACTATTGAACTACCAGAAGAAAACAAGGAAAATGCCTCAGGACATTGGAATGGGCAAGGATTATTCTGGATAAGACCCCAAAAGGATAAGCAACAAAAAGAAAATAGACAAACGGGATTATGTCAAACTAAAAAGCTTTTGCACAGCAAAGGAAACAATCAACAGAGTGAAGAGATAACCTAAGGAATGGGATAAAATATTTGCAAACTACACATCTGACAAGCGGTTATCCAGAATATCCAGGAATTCAAACAACTTGATAGCAAAAAAATGACAAACCCTTCCCAAACACACAAAAACAAAAACAAACAAAAAACCAAACCCAAATAATCAAATGGAAAAACTGAAAACAGTCAGGGACATGCAGATCAAAATGACACTGAAATTTCATCTCACCTCAGTCAGAATGGCTATCACCTAGAAAACAGACAACAAAGAAATGCTGGCAAGGATGTGGGGAGAATGTAAATTAGTACAACCATTACAGAAAACAGTATGAGGCTCCTCACAAAACTAAAACTAGAACTGCCATACGATCCTGCTGGACTGCTCCTGGGTCTGTACCTCAAAGAGTCAAAGTCAGTGTACAATGAGATCCTGTACAGCCATGTTACTTTTGCAGCACCATTCACAATAGCCAAAGTCATGAACCCAGTCTCACTGACCATCAATGGATGAATGGATAAAGAAACTGTAGTATATATACACAATGGAATTTTATTCAGTCTAAAGAAGAACTAAATTATGTCATTTGCAGGAAAATGGATGGAACTGGAAATAAGCCAGGCTCAGAAAGACAAATATTACATAATTTCTCTCATATGCAGAATCTAGATTTAAAAACAAAAAAGACATGAAAGCAGAAGGGGCATTTTTTAAGAAGAGAAAGGGGACCAGGAGGAAGGGGTGGGGGAACAAGAGAGGGGAATGGGTGTGTGTGAATGTGATGAAATTCATTATAACATGTATAAGATGTCATCATGAAACTCACTATTTTGTACTAGTAATATATGCTAGTTAAAAAGGGCAATAGACCTAAATAGACATTTCTCAAAAGAAAACATACAAATGGTCAATAGGATATGAAAAAAATGTTCAACATCACTAATAATCAGGGAAAGGCAATCAAAACCATATCATCATCTCATTCCCATTAGAATGGTTGTTATCAAAAAGACAAAGGTAAGTGCTGCCGAGGGTATGGAGAAAGAGAACCCTTGTACACTGTTGGTGAGAATGTAAATGAAATAGTAAGAGGTTCTCAAATGACTAAAGGCAGAACTATTATATAGCAATCCCACTACTAGATGTATATCCAAAGGAACTGAAAGCAGTAATGTTGAAGGGAAAGCTGTACTTTCAAGTTCACTGTAGCACCATTCACGATAGCCAAGAAATGGAAACCTAGGTGTCCATCAACTGATGAATGGATACAAAACTATTGCACATACACATAAGAAAGACTGAAATTCTGTTATTTCTGACAACGTGGATGGAACTGGAGCTCATTATGTAAGTAAAATAAGCCAGGTTCAGAAAGACAACTGCATGATCCCATTCACGTGTGGAATTTAATAAAAAATGTGATCTCAGAGGCTGAGAGTAAGTGGTTACCAGAGGCTGGGAGACAGTGGGAAGGATGGAAAGGCTGGCCAACTGCTACTAAGCAACAGTGAGACAGCAGTAAGTTCAGGTGTTCTACTGCACAGTAGGGTGACTACAGGTAATGTACCATGTATTTCAAAAAAGCCTGAAGAATAGATTTTGAATGTTTTTACCACAAAGAAGTGATAAACATTTGAGGAGATCAGTACACTTCCCCAGGGTTACCCCTTTGTGTCTCTAAGTCTATCTAATGCCAAAGCTTGCTCTTTCTGCCCCATGCCTCATCTAGAAAACAGAACAACAAAGTAACTCTCACCTGCGTTCTGTAGAAGTTTATGGTCCACACTATACACCAGGCCAATAGAGGGCTCTTGCAGTCCAGGTACCTTATTTCATGACCCCATTACCTATTGTGTTAACTTTTCAAGTAACATACAATTGGCCCAAGTAATCAGGTTTCTCTCATTCTCTCTCTCTAACATTTTCATTAGCATATATTAGTTGTACAGGGAGTCTCACTGTCACATTTCCATATATATTTACAATGTGCCTTGGTTAGCTACATCTGTTCCACTGTTCTTCCTCACCTCTCTCTACCCCACTTAAAATGATTTCAACAGGTTTCACTGCTCTATTTTCATGCAAGTATGTAAAGTACATCAACCATATTCACTCTCCTTCACCCTCTCCGTTCCCCCTCCCTGCTCCTATTAGTACTCCCCTCCAACAGGACTGTTCTACATTCCAGCCTTTCATTTTTTAAGTGTATATTCATTGTTTAGAGGGGTTTCACCACGGTATCTCACACACAAAGATAATGTACTTAAATCAGATTAACCCCTCCATTACCATCTGTTACCCTCCCCCACTATTAATTAACAGCTTTCAGTATGTTTCATTACACCATCTTCCTACAAAGATGAAATGTACTTTGATATTAGTCAGTCTGCATCATTCTCTTTTCCTCTTCCTAATCACCTCATAGTCCCACTATTACAGACATGTTCTACTGTGATGGTCACAACTCCGTCAGCGAAGGGATATAGGGTTGAGAGAATCACTGGAGTGAACTAGTCAGAGCAAAACCAATAATTCTATAGCAGGATTCTGAGTTTTCTGCTTTCTCTTAACAGGCCTCAATGCCCAATACTCAGGCAATAAGACCTTTCAAAAACAGCCTTATTAAGTGGGTATGCATCAAGGAGGAATTTTTTTTTTTCGGTACTAGGGTTTGAACTCAGGGCCTTCACCTTGAGTTACTCCACCAGCCCTCTTTGTGAAGGGTTTTTTTGAGGTAGGGTCTTGTGAACTATTTTCCCAGACTTGCTTCAAACTGAGATTCTCCTGCTCTCTGCCTCCTGAGTACCTAGAATTACAGGCATGAGCTACCAGTGCCTGGCTTGAGGAGAAATGTTTTGATCAGAAACAGTAGCCAAGAGTTCTACATGCTATAACAAGTATTTCTGGTCTCAAAGGGCTATAAAAGCAATAACTAAATGAATGAATGAATCAATCTACCCCCAAATGAGTTTATGAGAGACAGAGAGAGAGAGGGAGAGAGAGAGAGAGAGAGAGAGAGACAGACAGATAGAGAGAGGCTTAAATGGAAGACTTGGTCTCTAACCTGAGTTCCAGATCACAATAGCTTGGTTACTCTCCTGCTCTCTTCTCCTCTTTTTAGCAGGAGGATACCCCATACCTCAGATATCAAAACTTCTTAGCAGTAAGTGCTCTGAGTAGTGTTTATACTACCTGTTTGTTACAGTAAGAAACCACTTTTTTTTTT